CTCCGTCCCCTCCCTTCTGTCCAAGACTCTTGAATCAGTCTCGTCTTACATTCCCTCCTCTCTGCCTAGGCGAAAGAGAGTCCCGCCTATGGTCTACTCAAAGGTTGAAGAGACAGATTGTGGGTCAGATCAATCCATTCCGTTCTTCAGGGAAGATCTATGGAATAGGAAAGCCAAAACGGATCTATCAAAACAGATCTATTCTAAGTAAATACTTGGTCGATACGAGACTCTTTCTTAGTTCAGTGGGGTTTGAAAGCAGTCTACAACGAATCAAGCAGGTTCAGTAACAACGGATAACGGTCCTCACCACTCAATGGAGAATAGAAGGATAGGCTACGACACTTCTTTTCTCACTTTCAATGGGTTCAGGTCCGATAGCCACGAAACGGAGAAGAGAAGGATAAGTTGCGCACTTTAGGCCTGTTCCAGGTCAGTCGCTCAAAGAAAGGAAAGTACGTCGTGAGCTGTAGGCAGGAAAGAGAAAATAGAGCGATTGGTAAGCTGACCCTACAAGGAATACTGTTCCCTGGGATTGGCTTTGGGCCTTTCCTGCACAGCTTAGGTGGAAGGCGAAGAAGGCCCGAGCCATCAGTGAGATACCACTCTGGAAGGGCTAGAATTCTAACCTTGTGTCAGGACCTTCTTCTTGCGTACTTGACTTATAGGCTTGACGCCCATTTCCTCTAGGCTAGTTCATTCCCGGAAAAGAAAACTAGTTGAATTAGCGAGGATCCTTAAGAAAGCGGGTGCCATTCTGTCAGCTTCGTCCCAATGGATATCTCTTCTCTCAAACAGCAACCTAAGGAATCTCTCTTTCCACATGAGGTTTGAGGGATAAGGTCTTCTGGAAACCTTTTGAAGTGGGCAAACCAAGTCAAAGAAAGAAGCAACTCTCCCAGGACCGGAGAAGCTCAATTTCAAAGGTTAGGAGTTTAGTTCTGACTAGTACTGCCGAGGAGCGATTCCTCTGAATGGCAAGTATGAGTTCAACTGCCCTTCCTTCGGAGAATGGAGTCAGGGAGTGAGGAGACAGAAAGAATATTTTCATACCTTAAACCTATAGCTATCAACAGTCCGCACCTTTAGTTTTGTCAACACTGAGAAGCGAAGAGCTCAAGGTCAGGCAAGGCAGTCTAAGAGGCTATGGAATAGTTGCCTCAAAATAAGGGGTTATATATGATTTTACATTTATAGACAACTTTACAGATTTGTTTATGGATCTTTGAGAATTTTTTTTCATTTCCCTGAGATCGTGGAGAAGACATGTCCAGTCCAATGAATTTCAATCCCTTATCTCTCGGCTCGGAAGGGCACCAACGGTCGTGTTATCATACAGGATAGCTGAGATAAAAGCTATGTTATTATGCGTGGAGCCTTTTAGAAAAGCCCTTGCTTTCTTATATTGTCTAATTGAAGTGAAGTAATGTACCTATACCCGGGAGTAGCAGAAAGAATAAAATATCTCTTGTACTGGAGAGTTTTCCCCCTAAGGCATCCAAAGGCCCTTAAAACGCGACTTCATATGCTTGTAGGGGTCTCTACTCATTTGCCTTCAATCCTGCCTTTTGAGGAAGAGGCCGCTAAGGAAGGCCTTCCAACCATAATGCCTCCATGGACGGGCGGCGTGCTCCATTCTTAGTATTGCACAGTCAGTCCCGCATGAGTAGAGGCGCGCAGGCAAGCGAATAGAAAAGTAGTCTTTCTCCGCGGCAAGCATATTCAAGTACCGAACAGCCCGAGGAGTAGGCTTCCCGATGCTGAACTCTATTCCTTAGGTTCGGAGGTTCATAGGTTCGTAGGAGGAGCCTTATGTCGTAGGCCCTTCTTTCTAAAAAGTGGAGTTTTGACTGACTCTCTGTGCCTATGTGTGAAAACGAGTATGTGAACAGAACATCTTTCAAACATCGAGATGAAATAAGCCGTGGGGCCGGCAAACGGAACTAAGAGCTGCTCAAGGCACCACCAGCCCTTGGCACAACGATCAGGTCAAGCAAAGCGATATTATTTTCAATTCATTTTTGAAGCCCTGGGTACCAAGCAATCCGTTTAGATCTATTTCAGTTGCCAATGAAATGGAATATGGGGAACTCTCCGTCTAACCCTTTTCCCTATTTTATTTTATTTTATTTTTTCACCTAAAGATCCAAACAATAAGTTGTCTTTTGTCCTCCTTTTTAAAATCCTTTTAACCTTGAGACTTTATAGTCATGTGTCCAAAAATTTATTCCAGAAGGAGAATCCCGGTCCCCTTTATGTACTTTTTTATTTTCATTTTTTGTAATAATGATATAAGTAAAAATAATAAAAGGACCATTGAAATGTCAATTTTAAGGAAAAAATGTGTGTGCATTTGAGTTACTCATCAATCATTCATCATTTGTCACATTCTTCTAAGGAAGAAAAAAACAATTTCACTTTCTACACATAAAATGGTAGGGAATTGTGAAGAAAAAAACAATTTCACTTTCTACACATAAAATGGTAGGGAATTGTAAATAGGATTGATTGAATTAAATTTGAACGGGTTAAAATAAACTTTATCTATAACTAAATAGAGTTATATTAAATAATTTATAAATCACAGGCTCAAGTTTATGGATCTTTTTGGATAAGCTTTTAAAATTTGCTAATTTCAAAAAGTATTTCTTGTAAAAAATATTTATGAAGAATTATAATTTGTATTTGGCTAATTATCAATTTGAAAATATGTTTGTAAATTGGAATGATAGAGTATTGATTTGTGTTTGGCAAAGTTTGAAAAAGTACTTATGGAGAATTTTTTATTTTTTTTCAGTTTCAATTTTTTTTGTTATCACTCAAAAAGACTTAACTTATCCTAAAAGTCTGGCCAAACACCTCAATTTTTTCAATAGGCATTTTTTAAATTTAGCTTGATCGAACAAGCTATTAATTTAAGGGAAAATTGTGCAAAATAACAAACATTTAAACCATATTAAATGTTATAGTTACTCTTTAGGAAAGTTCTAATTTACAGCTATAGTTTCACCCAATTTTTCTATTAGCCTGATTTGTATAATTCGTCTGATTTGTATAAATCCTAAATCTGTATAATTTGATTCTTGATTGTATAAATTCAAAATTTTGTATATGCTTACCCTACCTATTTGCATACGATTTATGAAAAAATATAATAAATTATCTTGTTTGTATATTGGCAAGCGAAATATACAAATGGAGCTCTGAAAAATTCTCAAATGTATAAATATAGAATTTGTATATATTTACCCTATTTGTATATTACGAAATATACAAACAAACAGAAATATACAACTGAACTATATTTATGAAGCACAATTATCGAAATTGTAGTTACAGATCCTTAATATATTTATTACATTTGCTATTTTTTGAAATTTTCTCTTGATTTAATCCATTAATTTAGGCAAATTATACTTTGCCCTAAACGAATCTAAACCTAGGGAGATTTAAATAGATAAGGAAATTGAGCTCACGTCCAAAGAAATAAAATTCGATATTCTCTCATTTCTTTATTTCCCAATAAAAAAGAATCACAACAGTGTGATGAGTTTTCTTTCTCTTCAACAGTCGGATTCAAAGGCCTATATACGGCTTTACGAAAATCTAGTAACTTTTTACTTAAATCATGTATATATACTAAATTATTTATCAAATATTTATAAATTTTTGACTATCCTCTTAGTTATTATTTCAATATTAACTTAGAGAACGTTTTAAAAATTTACGTAAATTTTAAATTCTGAATCCAACTCCGTCTTTCCTAACGATGAAAAGATGAATGGGTCCAAGTAGGCATGTTAACCACATAGACATATGAGAAAATGCCAAGTTCTATATTTAATACTAGCAGGTCCACTCTTAATCATTTTGCCGGTCAACTTCAAACTTCTACATTTTCAATCTTTTCTAAATTAATATTTCGGTTAAAAGTCACATTTTATGTTAATTATTACACATTGTTATGATTTTATATATGATTATCCAAACACTCTCTTGTAGTTAGAGATTAATGATCATTTAAAAGTATATCATAAGAACAAAGTGACACCTAGGGTTTAAAATTGTATCATTAGAGCTCCTGTGATATATGAGATGAGATAAATAAGGATATATATTACATTGCCCTAGTTATCCGAACTTCCATATGAAATAGCTATTTTCATTACTTTAGGACTTTGTTATCCCTTATTCCATCAATCAAACTCTAGATGACATAATCTCACATTTATGATTTAACTGTGGGATTAATATCATTCTTTATCTCACCAACTAAAAACCTCCTTAATGCAGAAACGATGACTGATCTAGAAATCTGAAGTTCATAAATTTTTACAATAATCTTAAGATAATAGTATACGTTAATACGTGAGTTCATATTCTAGATATATAGTACTTCCGCTATTTCAATTTATTTGTCCTAATTTTCTTTTTAGTTCGTTTAAAAAAGAATCTCTCTTTCCTCTTTTAGCAATTCTTTACTTTTCAAGACAGAAAAAGAAAAAACTTTTTTATTTTTCACGAGACATGTTTAAGATCACAAGATCAATGACATTTTGGTACATTTGACATATTTTGAGTTTATAAACCACACAATTCAAATGTCTTTTTTACTTCTTCTTTTTTATAACCGTGTCAAGTCAAAATAGGACAAACAAATTAAAACAGATGAATCATTAGTGTTTAATAACTTTATAAAACTATATATATACCAATGTTTCATATATATATATATATATATATATATGGATCTTTCTCTTCATCCAAATTAAGGAACAAGAATACAATAAGAGAAGAATTAAGAAGTAATTAAACAGCTTCAATTTCTAGATTTTTTATTCTTCTGCTTTGTCAAAAAAAAAAAATAAGAACACTTTGGAGAACCTTGATACATCCAAAAAGTCCCAATTTAAAATGACAACTTTTATAGCGTAGCTAATTTATTATGGACTATATACAAGAAAGGACTACAAGAAAGCTCTCCAAGTTTACAAGTAGTACTATTTTACAGCTAGTAAAAAAAAGTACTACAAAAAACCTGGTGGTAAAAAATTAAATTAAATTAAACTAACATTAATTATTTAACCAAAGGGTAATTAGGGGTGGTTGTTGTTACAAAATTGGTCCTTTTAACAAACCTTCCTTTCATTCTTGGCCTCTTTTCAGCATTCAATTTCCTAACTTCGTATCTTATTTTCTTCGAAAATAATCTTGTTCGTCTTTTTTCTCTGTACCTTGTAACTCTCGCTTCTCTTCCTCTATCCACTATTGTTACATTTTCGTTCATTATTCCCATGTAATTTCCCTGCAAAAATAGCAGAAAAGAATTTTTGTACAATCAGATCGACTGAAAAATAACTATCCATCATGAAACTAGTCATCCAACATTATATAAAAAATTTAAAGTTACACTTATAAGTTGATTTTTTTTTTTTAAGAAAATGAAATGTTCATTAACGTGCTCCCAAAATTGCATGAATATTTACCCTTCATTAATGTTTAAAATGATAGCATGCAAATCATTTTGTTATTCATTTTAGTACTTTGTTCTAAAATATTAAAATGTCGATGTCCAAATGAAATGACTAGAATATCTAAGATATTTTGCTCAAATATGTAATGTCCTATGATATAATATATAGTATAAGAAAATACAATATTTCCATAAAGACCTTAGTATAAATTGCATTAAATATTACTAGCATATTCCTAAAATTAAACTCAATTTCTACGAATCAAGAACACGTGGCATGAACTTTCACTTTCAAAATTTAGAAAAATGGGACCATAATATAAATTGCATTATAACTATCAAAAAATATAATGGATTATACTTTTAATTATATTCTAATCAAATCCATTAATTGCAAAACTTATAATATAAGATAAAATAATTAAATTAAAACTTACCATGCAATGTGGCCATGAGTCATTTGAGTCCAATTCTGGCCTTTCACCATTAGTCCAAGGAGACCTTTGGTCAGCCCATGCTGTTAATACACCTTCATAATCAAGATTTAATAAAATCTTCTTTTTATTTTCATCCTTCATAATTACTTCATCTTCTCCGATAATATTCATCGGCGAATCGCAATCGAATTTGAATTCAAAAGTGTCTTCATTAATATCAATATCATGATGAGTATGATTATATTGATGATCATGAGTAGTAGCAGAAATTGTTTTTCTAACGACTTCAATTTCTCCCTCATCTTCAATTTTGACTTTTTCATGACTGATCATTGAATATTCCATTGAATTTTCCTCCTTGTTACAAACCCCTAATAGACCTAATCCTTCCATATCAAATGACTCATCATCAAGTCCTTTACCTAGTAAACTCTCAACATCGGCTGCGAATTCCGCTAGCTCCATCTCCGAGGGTAACATCTCGTGAAATCTATTCAGATCGACATTACAGATATCATCCTGCAACATCATCTCTTTAGATTCGAGTTTAAATTCTGAATCAGCATCTGCTGCTGCAGTCGCGTTACTCTCCACCATCTCATGATTATTTCTTGTGGCCGAGCTGTAGAGCTGGGCCACGAAGGGATCGAGTATGGGCACTCGATATAAAAGTTGCTCCTCTTCATTCTCATCATGGGAATTTTCATCGCTTAATATCTCGGGGACGAGATGAATAGGATTCCTTTGAATGACATCTCCATCCCCCGCAGATTTACTAGCCTTCCTCCCATGCCTAGGAGTCCGCACCTTTCTAGTAAATCCGCGATGCCACGATGGGACTGACACTGATGAAATTGATAGTGGACTTTCCAAATCGGGAAAGTAATCGTCTGATGATGATGACGATGATGGTTGTTTCAGTGACGATGTTTTAAGACGAACCCTTTCGTGCCTACGCGCCAAAGGGTTCGCCGAATGAACGGAAGCGTCACAATTTTGACATAAAAATGCATCATCGGCCGGACAATACCAACGTGCCCTTTTTTTAATACAATTGTCACATGCTCTTGTTGTTTTTCCACCCATTGCACTTGCTAATTTTCTTTCAGAAACCATCGATAAATTCTGAATCCACCTCTGATACGTGTATTACTCAATGAATTTTTTTTATACTTTTGAAGAGTAGGTGGAAGAGGAAAACTAAGGGGAGATATGTTGAGTTAGATCTTTATGTATAATTGTTGAAAAAAAGCTCTAGAGGAACTCAAAAGACAGTGCTAAAAGTGCAATTATTTGAGGAACCCACAAAATGCACTTTTACAGCAAATTATAAAGTTCTTATTTTATAAAAATAAAATTGTGGGGACAATTTTTTTAGTTTTTGGTATTTTCTACAAGAAATGGGAGACTATACTTATGGGCCTACAATAAGGCCTTATCTGTATTTTAATTGGCTAATTTGTAAACATCATCCTTGATACTTGTTTTTGATTGGATGAAGTTGTAGTCAAATGGATTTCAAAGGGTCCCACTTGTGTTGAGGATGAGAATTACTTGAAAATTTGATCCAATTTCTCTATCCTAATGTCCATGTCTATTCTCTCAAGAGTTTGAAGGTGACACTTTTGTTAGATTGTCTTGCATTGAGTTTTTTTTTTCTTCAAAATATCTAGTATTTGAAATTTAGATAAAGTAATCCAAGGAGGTGTTCATTTAACTGATTAAACTAAAAATAGTCTATGAGTATATATAATATGTGAATGATCGTGTATAATTAATAAACACTCTTTGGTATATATGGATCATTCGAATTTCGAGAGTTATACTCAAGCATGGAATCTTCGAGTTTTTTGAAACAAAATTTACATAATTAAAAGCTAAGTAAAAGTAGTACAAGTCACACTAATTCATAATTCAAGATATTTTAAAAAATATACTATTAAAGAAAATTTATTTGAATCTCGAAATACGATTTGTGCCACATAAAATGATATGAAAGGAGTATAAGTTATGTATAACAAATAGAAAAAAGCAAACTATATACTTGACTGGCTATTTTTATAAAGACTGCTCGACTAATTTGAATTTACAATGTGCAAGACTCATTTAAAGGAAAAATATTTTATTAGTAGGAATTTATTTATTTTATGACATGAATCCAAAACTTCTTAGCTCTGATTAAAAATAGAGAGATATATACTTATAACTACATTATTTTGGTGGTGGTATGCTTTGAGTTATATGCTCTCTAAGATGATGATATTTGAAGTACAAGTGTAGATATTTTAAGAGGAATGTATATTTTGAGAAGAAGGTAATTAGATATTTAATATTTTTCATATTTCATATATTGATTTTTTAAATTTGGATATAATAGTACATACTTTAAAAATTATATAAAAAGTACTAATTGTTAAGTCTATTCTTTTTCATAATTGTATTCTGGAATTTACAAATTGAAACTTCATTTTGTTTCACGTTATATTTGTGACTCTATTAAATTTTGAAAAGCCAAATAATTTTTTTACTAATATAATTTTCCATTTGTTTTAAAATACCTTTTATTATAAAATGAAATTATATTATATAGTTGAAAAACTCTTTGTTGCGGTCCCCTTCTACTTTTTCCCCCCCTCTGCCCCTAAATATTTGGTCTATAAACTTAAAAAGGGAAAGTGATAATACAATTATTGTTTTTTTGAAAAAAAATTTAATAATTGCCTTTTGAAGTTTTGATGATGTTGCTAGTTTCAACAGTTACATAAAAGGTGGTTTATAATCATTGGTAATTAACTAATTATTTATAGTAATTTTGATTTCGTAGCATAAAAAATCAAATAAATAACATTTCATAATTATATAACTCATAAATTTTAAAATCTAAATAAAAGGAAGTAGTATACATTGTTATTATATATTTTTCATTCGAAGTAGTATAAATGAGTAAAAATGTTGAGTCCCGCATTGTTGAGATTAGGGGTGTGCATTCGGTTTTACACTATTCGGTTTGGATTTTTGGTTTTTGGTTTTGTAAAAGTATAATCCAATCCGATCCAAAATAAATTTGGTTTGGTTTGATTTTCCTCTATTCGGTTGGCTTTTTTCGGGTTGGTTATTCGGTTATGTCAATAATTAATAACATATATAACCAAAGTAATAATATTTAATCCCTTAAATATTCTTTCTAATATAAATCATAAAGTAAAACTTAAAACACAATACTTATAAGTATACCTATTATAGATGTAATTCAAACATAAAATATAAACGTAATCATCATGAAAGGCAATAACCAAAAAGGGACAAAAGTGGTTAACTCCAACTTAATTCTAAAAACCAATCCAAATAAAAATTCGGTTTGATTTTGTTTGGTTATTCGGTTTAATCCGAATAGTGCACACCCCTAGTTGAGATATAGAGAATTATTTGAATAATCTTCTTCTCAGAAGTTAGCTTTTAAAATTGAGTCAAATTCAAATTTTTTTTTTTTCATTTAATTATAATAAATATGAAAATTAAAAGATGAAATAGTTTTGAGAAAAAACAAAATGAAACCCATAAGTCACACCAGAAAACACTTTTTGTTGAAGAAAATTCGTGAAAATAATTTCCATCATGTCAGGCGCACATTTATCTGTTGTGTCTTCTTCAATTTATTAAGGAATTAAAAGATAAAATAATGTTTAGATAAAGGAAAAAAACGAATCTGAAAGTGGATAAATATGATGTGGAATTATATAATTATAATTCTTAATACTTGCATGAAGGGAAAAAAAAATCTCCGCAAGGATTATCGTAGATGTGAGGGTTGAGATTTTTTTGTTGTTCTTAATTAGATGTCTTGATTCTGAAGTTTTGAAAATGTAATCTTATTAAAAGCATTATTTTTAAAAATGAGCTCTGTAATATATAAATACGAATTTAATCGAATCTCAATTATCGAACTCCGAATTAAAAAAAGAAGTAAATCGATCATAGACAAGCATGTCAAAGTGTCACGGTTATGATACTGACAACTTTATTGTTCTTAACTTGTAGTATTCTCACATGCACTTTCTCTATGATGTTTATGCTCTCTAATTGTTTATCAAAGTGAGGGAAAAAAAAGGGACGTGGCAACGTGTCATGCATATGATCAAGGTAAAAAAAGGAAAATTTCAAAAATAGCTAATACTAGAAATATAATCAGGTGAAATAACTATATTTTACTTAATTACGATTCAATGTACATGTTAGAAAGAGAGAGGCAAGCGAGATTGAGAGAGAAAGAAGAGAGACAAACGAAAGAGAGCACACAAAAAGGAGAGAGGCAATGAAGGTGACAGATGTTTGGTGTCCACATTAAAATTTCTAGTAAATTCATATCGCCCATTGCATAACCGTGTTGGGGGTGACACTTTCAGCAAAAGTTTTTCATATTCAAGACTTAAACTCGAGACCTCTAGTTAAAAGTGAAGTAGTACCACTATTACACTACAACTCATGTTTGTCAAGAAAAATTGTTTTGGGTTTATAACCATTAGTAATTGTTTACACCCCCTCTATTTTATTTTACTTGGTGTTTATACCAAAAACAAATGTTTCATACTTGTTTATTTTAGTAAATCAAGAGAATGTTATTACTCCTTTTCATACTACATTTATTATTAACTAACTATATAAAGTTATAATAGACAAATTTAAATTTTCACAACATTACCACATATTTCATTTTTTTAAAAATAATTTGTGTCAAATAAACAAGGCATAAATAATATGAAACATAGTAACAATGATTTCGTCAAGTAGAAAATGAACTAAATAACATATCACAATCAACTACCTAATTCATAAACTTTAAATCAATAATCATATATTTAATTAAACTCCCTATATACTTTGAATCAAAACGTAGTAATATATTATTATTATTATTATTATTAGGAATTGTAACCTATAGTCTTTCTCTTTGCGCTCTATTTATTATGAATATGAATAGAAAATGCACGTAAATATTATCAACTCAAATGATTGCACATGCTAGCTTCTTCTTTTTTTTCACTAATAAATTTTACTACTACTTACTTAGTAGTCGTACTGTAAAAAAATATTACAAATTACAATCTAACAAAGTAAAATTGTGCGGGCGGGTTGAAGTTTGTGCGGGTTCAAACTAAACCCGCACCATAACCTCTTCGATCCCGCCCCATTGTCATCCCTAATCATCTTCAGCTTCCTCAACCTTCTGCCCGAATCCTCGAGGTCCACCTCTAGCTCTCGCTACAATTTTCCCCTTCCGGCCGCTCTTCTTCTTCTTCGCCGCTTCTTCTTTCTCGAATTTCTCCTTCTCTCTCTTCTGCAAAAAATCCGTAACAGCAATGTAGATTACTCCGACGGTTAGAATGGATAATCCGGCGAAAGCAATGACCAAAAGCGATTGAATGACGGTGGAAACTCCGTCGCCACCGGTGGATGAAACAATTTGATCGGCAGTTTCATCGAGATTCACTTCTGACAACTCTGAAATAGCGGAGATTCTCCGATTTGGGATGATTTTGGATGGAATTGGTAGATTTGGGCGGTGAATCTTGTGAGGATGGAGGTTTCTAGAGGGTGAAATTTGTGAAATTGATAGATTTTGTGGAGGAAAAAGAGGTGATTTAGGGTTAATTACAAGGAAGGAGAGAGAAATGGATGTAGAAGAAGCCATTGTCTCTCATCCAATTTGCAAAGCTAAAGGAAATGTCATCTTAATTTTTGTACTTTTAATTTCCTTCACACATCCATATGACCCTTATCTTCTCTTCCTTGGGCCCCACCACCTAGTAAATTTACGAGAATTGAAATCTTACTAACAAGGTGAAATTTTAGATGAACAATCGACTGCGCTACTTAAATTTTTAGGGAACATGTTTATTGGGTAACGACAATATATTAGTGTAGTTTGATAAGTAAAGTCCGGAAAAGGTATTGTCAACGCAATTTTATTTCTATTTTGTGAAGATAGAAAAGTTGTTTTTGATGGACTGTCGACTTAAGCTAAGCTTATCAAAATCAGTATGAAAAGATAATATAGCAGTGAAGAAGACGAGTAATAAATAATTGAGAAAAAAATAATATTTTAACAACAAACACATTATATCAAAAATGATCTTTAATGACACAATAGCTTAATTACCGCTAAATAGGTATTTTTAGCAACAATTGATTTTCTTTGTAAATGTCTCTAAAGTCTATAGCGATAATGAATCAATGACAATTAACTAATGATGGTAAAAAAATAAATATCTCTCTTTATTAATGTGTATATTTATTGTCGCTAAA